AAAGGGATGCCCGCCGAACTGAAGGCTGAAATATTCAACGTCTGCGTGGCAAAACTAATGGAGCCTCTGCTTCAAGTGAAGGAGAGGTACGTTATTTATGACACTCTAGCGACTGACTTGTGTGAACATGCTGTTTAGATAAGTGTACCGCCACGTGTCCTTCAATCCAACCATCTATGCTGCTACCCGTCCGTATGCAGTGGTGTGTTATTGAAAGATCCACACGGGGTTGAACGCAAGGTGGTCCCGATGCTTCTTGGGTGGGCTGCTGACTACCCTGAATCGAGGAAACTGTTAGGCACCCTTTCTGGCCAGGGCTGCTCGAAGCCGTGCAGCATCTATTACGTTGATCGGGTAAGCACTCAATCCGTGTTTGTCTTTCCTGTTGCTGGCCATTGTTGACACAAGCAATCATCCGTTTTCACGCGTACCGTGACAGGACAACCTCTCATCTGTTAACATGGACCACGCTGTTCGGAGTCCTGAGCACCAACAGTGGGTGGTGACTCAAATGGAGGCGTCTGCTGAAGATACTTCACTGGCACAATATTCAACCTACAACTTTCAGGTCAGAATGTGCACAACGTAGTTCAAGATAAAGAATGCTTCAGAAAGAGAGAGCGATCGACCTCGAAACGTGGGTATGTCGTCCTAACCCTTAGTGTGCTGGGTTTTCGCTCTCATCCTTGTGTATGGTGGGAGCATATATCTTGGACGTGCATGTTGGCCTTTGTCGTTGTGTTATGTTGCTCAGTGAAGATCTACACTACACGTCATTGTATGGCAGTGCGCATTGTGGCAATGGGGCATCGCTGGCCATGCATGGGGGAACCCATATCTAGCACTCTTGCCAGACATCATGCACATGGCGGATCTCGGAATATTGGACCACATTGTCAAGTGCATCCGTAAAGCGTCACCGAGGTCCCTCAAGAAGCTCGACACGTAGGTTCATCTTTGTTCTTTTCGAACCTGAATAGCTGTATCTGTCATTTGCGGTAAGGAGTGTGTATCTTTCTTGATGGTCATCCTATCAGGGTTTCAAAACTCCTCACCAGTACTTTCCCCCTGCCAGGTGGCTGCAGAACTTGCGTGAAGCTACACGCATCAACACGATGCGATTTCCCGATGAGTACTTTTCGAGCACTGCGAATGTCCCAGCATTTGAGCATAGGGCTGTGATGCAGGTAGGACGCACCTTAAATGGCTGGTAGGTGTGGGATGCAGGTAGGACGCACCTTAAATGGCTGTGATGCAGGTAGGGCTGATGTTGCATGGTTGAATATGCATATGTTATTGCATACGTTCAAACCTCATCATGTGAAATGATCATGCAGTACAAACTGACGTAAACCCTCTCCATTCTTCTTCCCTGCATATCTCAGTCAATGCTGTTGCATACCTATGTTTCAGACCCATGAACTATGCAGGATGCTCCTCTGCCATGATTTTACTTGCTCATACAATCATATGATCCTTGCCATTGCCAATACACCATGAAACCTACACCATAGGTTCTGATTTTTTTGGTGGCCGACATACTAGATGCGGGACAACTGGAGGCGATTCGTGCATACATTGACTTGTATATTTGGTGCAACAAAGACCTCCACACGGAGAGCACTTTACAAGAGCTGAAGCGGAAGGCAGCAAGGTATGCTCACTCCACCCTAAACACATATTCCTGGTTTTCTCTTAACCCGAAACCAAGAGAGCTTGCCTTGTGCATGTACGTAGCCTCGCATATTCATCAACCTTTCCTTGTGCCTGCCCATACACTACAGGCTGGTGAAACTGTTGGTGAAAGCCTTTCCCCAACAAGCATCCGAGTGGAACCTCATTAAAACTCACCTCATGTCACATTTTGTTCCCGCCATTCGGCGAGCCGGTTACGTGCAAGAGTACAGCACGAATTTTTTTGAGCACTTGCATAGCACACTGTTGAAGCAAATCTACCGTCGCTCGAACAAGAGAAATGTGGACGTGCAAATCATGAAGCACCATGAAAAACGGCTAGGCGTGTGGGAAGACGAAGAGTCGGACACTAAACACGAGACCGCCATGGCAACGGTAAGTATATTCGAGCACATGTTGGCCGAGCCAAATTTCAGCCATAGCGTACTTTCAGGCAATGAGTGAGCCCTTTTTCACTGCAGGCAATTGAAAAAGGCGTGCGCGTCATGACCAAGGAATCTTATTTTTTCCCCGTGGACCCTATGGATGCGACTGAGCACCCCAACGATTTCGTGAAAGAGTGGAGCGAGCAGCACCCCGAGGCACATGCCAAGTTCAAGCGGGCACTTGCACGGGTGAACTTGTCGCCCACCAAGGTTCGGGTAAGAATTGCCTTCCATGCTCATTCGTGACTGCAAATTCAACCTTGCTGACATTTGTTGCCCTAACCACCAAGGCAATGGCAACTCCCCACCCCCCCACCTCCACCCCCCTCCCTCTTCTTCCAATGCCTCACTGCATCGCATCCCTCTTTCCCTCACTCCAGCGCAGGGTTCACCCGGATTTGCAGGGAACCTGGCTGGAGCCACCAAATCCACCATCCCAAATCAACTGGATTTCCCCCTTCCCCATTCACCCTACCCCCATGCACCCCCCTACCTTGCCCTCTCTCCCTATTTCCTTGTTCCCCTCAGATGTGCCACCTGGGGGCAGCTCCAAGGCATGGGAACACCTCTGCAAGACATTGGCACCCAACACTCTGCAATCTGAGTTGCAGAAACAGCAAGGGGCATGATAATGCCCCCTTCTCTCTTTCCCACCCTGCCCCACTTCATCCTTCTCTCCCTCACTCCAGCCCAGGCCCTCCAGGGACACACAGGGGTGCAACTCTAGGCCGGCAGTGGGGCTGTTGAGTCCCCACCTACACGACCCCCTAGGAACCTGGCTGGAGCACCCCTTTTCCATTCCCAAACCCATTCACCTTTCCCCTTCCCCATTCCCCCTTCTCTAATGCACCCCTCTCTCCTGCCCTCTCTCCCTATTTCCTTGTTCCCCTCAGATGTGCCACCTGGGGGCAGCTCCAAGGCATGGGAACACCTCTGCAAGACAACTGGCACCCAACACTCTGCAATCTGAGTTGCAGAAACAGCAAGGGGCATGATAATGCCCCCTTCTCTCTTTCCCACCCTGCCCCACTTCATCCCTCTCTCCCTCACTCCAGCCCAGGCCCTCCCGGGACACAGAGGGGTGCAACTCTAGGCCGGCAGTGGGGCTGTTGAGTCCCCACCTGCACGACCCCCCAGGAACCTGGCTGGAGCACCCCTTTTCCATTCCCAAACCCATCCACCTTTCCCCATCCACTCAGATAAGAAGTAATACCCCTCCCCCCTTCCCCCCCTCACAATTTCCCTCCATGACTCACTGCATCCCCCTCACCCTCACTCCAGCCAACCCCTTGCAAAGGACCCTCAGGAGTGCTCCTCTGGGCTTGCCCTGGCCTTGTTGAGACCCACCTGCACTAGCCACTTGGAAACTGGCTGGAGCACCCCTTCTCCGTTCCCATACCCATCATCCTTCCAACCCTTCCCCATTCGCCCTAACCCCATCCACCACTCTCTCCTGCCCTCCCTATCTCCCATCTTCCCTGAGATGTGGCATGGAGATACCACATTTTTTTCTAGCTAAACCTGGGTGCGGCCCTAATGACATAAGAGTGTTATCCAGAGCATAACGATGGTTTTCATGCATTGTCGCAGGCGCACACAACAATGGCGATTCCCTCAGCCCAAGGAGAGCACTTTTTGCGCGTTGCACACTTTGTGAAGGCTGCCCCCCATTCGTACTCGAGGCCATGGTTCTCAGACGTGGCCATCATGGGGACAGCACCAGACGGGGGAGATGTTGAATGGTATGGGAAGCTGTTGCTCCTGTTTCACACCAAGGAGAGGGGTTGCAAAAGGGAGCTGGCGTACGTGAGGTACTGGACCAAAACGGGCGAGGATGCGAAAACGGGATGCACTCGACTTGCATGGACGACAACCCTTTCCAAGTATTCTGTGGTCAACGTCGATGCGATTTATCGCGAGGTCCACGTTATCAAGGCGTTTCATAGCGACACCGCTTATTTGCTTAACAAATACCAACTTAGATAGTGTAGTGAAAGCATGCATCTGCGTAGGCATGTTATAAAATAAATATGTTTTATAACACAAGTTACACAAGATTAAACAAGACGTCGGATAGATTGTTGACGTTATGTAACAAAAGTTACTTTGGTTTCTGTTAATCAGATTTACAATTTATATAAATACATGTAATAAAATAACAAGTCTCATAGAGCAAAGCATGATCTACACAACTTTAAACAATCTGTAATTGGACCAAAATTGGTCCGAATTTGCCTCGTCAAACATTAACCAAGCAGGCCTAAAATGGGAACAACCCTGGCCTGAATTTGCCAGGCCTAACCCTCGGTCAGAATCTGACGCGGCTCGATGTGCAGGGCGTCAGACTCAATGTGACCAAATTTTGACGCGCGACCAAGAGCAGACTGCGCTTCGGCGAAAACAGGGTTTCCTCGCGCAAACCGAACAACCCAACCTCGAAAATGTTCCCAACCCCCCCAGATTGGAAACGCGGGTTTTTTGTGATGGAGTTGAAACGAACCCTGAATTCTCAGGAAAACGGACAAATTCCCGTGAATCGACAGGCCTGGTCCGAAGTGAACGTGACATCCGTTGACATCCGATGTCGGTAAATTATAACGGTTGGAACTATGGATCCGAGGGCTGACATTTACCGACATCCAGCGACATCCATTCGACGCTTCGTAGTTGAAGCTTTTAGGTGTAGTTGGGCTTCGGCGCGTAGGTGCAGCATGTTACAGTATTTCGTGTACAACAACTGGTCGAAAAGGCTAGGTAGTTGGGCCTTGGCGCCTGGGTACAATGACGCTGTCGTGATCGCAAACGGAATTCGGTTTGAGCATTTCAAAGACACCGCAACTCTTAGTAGGTCCCCTCGTTTCCGACGTTGGTTTCGAAGTGATGATCCAACAGGTGGCTTCCCCTGTCTATTCTAGTTTCTGGTGCCTCTTGCCATCAATGGCGAAGGGCGACCCCTTTCCTAGTAGGAAAGACCCGCCCCACGGTGCCCACAGCCCCTTTACCCTGCTTGCGTTCGCCGCAAGTTGCGCCGCGTTCACCGGGCTGCAGGACGTGTTTCTGGCGGCGTGGCTGCAGCAGTTGCTGACGCTCCGCTTCTTCTCCGCGGCGCGCGTGGGCGACCGGCCGTGGCGGGACGTCGTCGCACTTACCGTCGTCGTTATCGCAACGCAGGTAGCCGCCAGTGGCGCGTCGCATGCAGAAAAGCACGTCACACGCACACATAGTTGGTGCATCTGCATTGTGTGGTGGCATGAGCGCGCGTTGAGGATGAACTGGCATGAATGGGGATGGTCACCATGCTGTGCTACGGTAGCACACGACTTTTAACGCTTTGTGGTGTGCGTGTGTGTGCATGATGTGCATGTCCCCTCCACAGGCATGCGGCACGACAGTGGCGTACGGGAACTATGCGTTGAGCTTGGCGGCCAACGTCCTCGCCTCCTGCCATGTCGCATTGGCCAACGTGCTGCCATGCCTCGCGGACTCGCTCTTCCGCTTCACCTACAGGTGCGATGGAGTGAGGGAGGAATGAGCAGCAGCATTTGAAACGTGTTGGCTCTGTTGTGGCAGCGTGATGGCACTAGTCTTGAGGAGCCTATATAGTTTTGGCGCGATGTCTATCTCGTGCTGACTCCTCAATGTCCTTTCCTCTTTCCTCCTCAGTGTCCTTTCCTCTTTCCTCCTCAGTGTCCCTCCCTCCGTCCCTCTCTCCCTCTCTCCCCCTCTCCCTCTCTCCGCGTCTCTCCCCCACTCTCCCTCTCCCCCCTTGGTCCACTGCCCACCTCCTTCTACTCGTTCCAAAGTAACCTCCGCCCTTCTGCACCCAACCCTCTCCTCTTCCTCCTCCTCCCCTCCCCCCACCACAGGCGCTCACCACACCTGCATCCGCTCGTCTTCCCCCTCGTCTCCGCCTCTATCTGGAGCTTCCTCTCGCTGCTCTCCCCCTTTGGCGCCTTAGCCCACCCGTTCTACTCGCTGTGCTCCCTGCTGCCGCTCGTGCAAGCCACGTCATTTGTGGGCATGGATGGTGTCCTGCTGCTGGTAGACTGGCTGGTGGCGGGTATTCACCAGATGATGTGTGAGGGGGATGCGGCGGGGATGGGCGAGGAAGGGTGGAGCCGGGGTCGGAGAGGGGGTGGGATCGGGGGTGAGGTTGGGGAGGAGGGGGGGGGAAGAGGGGAAGAGCATATGAGGTGTCCTGGGGAGGGGGAGAGGGAGAAGGGTAGCAGTCAAGTGTTTGGTGAGGCCTGTAACGGTGTTAGTGCAGTGAGGAATGGAGTAGTAGTAGGAGGAGAAGGGGCAGGTGCGGAAAGGGGAAGAGGTGCAGTTGGGTAAAGCAACTGGCTCGGGGTAGGCAGCAGCGGGAGGGGCCATGTGGGAATGAGTGCGGCACTGCTGGTGGTGCTGATGGCTGCCGGGTCAGCGCGAGAGGTTGTTTTCTCATCCAGGTACTATTGCTGCACTGCCAACTCTCACGCTCTACTGCCCTTTACTAACTCCCCGTCATTTCTGCTGCTGCTGCTGCTGCTGCTAATGCCTCCACGCCTTTGCCCACGCTTTCCGTGCTGAAGGGATACGGGGGAGAAGGGGTGAAGTGCGGGGGGCAGGGAGAGTGTCAACGGGGGCGGAATGGAGATGCAGAAGGGGCAGTATATGCAGCAGCAGTAGGGGAAGGAGCAACGGGAAAAGCAGCAGATGGGGGAGGAGGAGCAGCAGCACCAGCGAAAGGGACGTGGGAGGAGTGGGAGTCACGTCGTGTGTCAGGCATACCACGGGTAATGCAGCAGACGCAGCAGAGAGCGAGTGCAGGCGACGCGTTGATCCTGTGGTCAGAGACACCTATCATTCTGCTGTACGACCACGAGGAGGACAAGCTCCTGGCTGACCTCTCTGCCATCGCCATCGCTGCCAGGGCCAACCGCACTGCCGCCGCTGCTGGGGACGCTGCAGCTCCACCAGTCCTTGGGCCATACCTGGGCGTTTCATACATAAAGGTGCGGGTTTCATTTCCATAATAGTATGGGTTTATAGGTGTATGTGTGCTGGATTAGCTTTGACACACCTTCTTTTGTCCTGCCTTCCCCCTCCCCCTACCCCTTCCCTGCATCGCAGCTCATCACCTTCGTCCCGGAGACTTTCATCAACACATTCGTCCTCATCGACCCCAGCGGCGCCTCCATCCTGCGCTACAACAAGTCGCACCTCTTTCCCTCTGTGGAGGCGGACGTCCTGCCGGGCTCTGGTTCCCTGCCCGTGGTGGACACGGAACTTGGGAGAATGTCCGTGGCCGTCTGCCTTGACATGCAGTTCCCTGCACTCATCCGCCAGGCCGGCAGACAAGGGTGTGTAAAGCCCTGCCTTGTATTCTCTGAGTGGTGATACAGGTCTGAGCCTGCTCCTCTTTTCAAACTGGCATCACCATCTCCTTCCAAAACCCCCACACAAAGTGGGAATCTTCCCATGGCTATGGGGAGCATAGGCCCATGATGTAAAGGAGTGCCGATGGCCAATGCAGGCACTCCCATACTAACCCATCCCCACTTTTCTCCCATCCCTATAACCGCCATTACTCACCGCCTCCCACAGAGTGGACATTCTGCTGGAGCCCAGCTGGTCGTGGGGCGCCACAGGCCACCTGCTTTCTGTTGGAGACGCAGTGAGGGCGGCAGAGAATGGCCTCACTCTTCTACGGTGCTGCTCCGTTGGGGTTTCAGGAGTCGTGTCTCTTCACTACCGCACCCTTGCTGCATGGTGCGTGCTCCTGCTGCTGTCATGTCACTGTGTTTCTTGCTGCTGGAAGATTATGCTTCCAAATGAGCCATCGCAAACCTACTCACCCATTCACCCATTCGCGCACCCGTTTATTAGTTTCCGCACACATACAACCATTCCTGTTTATTCATTTCCTCCAGCATACAAGTATTGGCCCATCCGTTTATTCATATCCGCACACATACTGGTACATCCATTTGCCCCGCCATCCCTTACTCACTCTGCTTCTTGTGTCTGCCCCAATCACCCGCTGTGCTTCAGGGAAGGGCTAGCTTCTGGGACGCTCTCAATGCACCTGCCCCGCCTGCCCCATGCCCCAGCGCTCTACCCCTTCATTGGCCTACCCATCTCCCTCCTCCTCTTCTCCCTCACCCTCCTTGCATCATTTTTTGCCATTTGCCCCACCCTTTCGAAATTCCTTCTCGTCACCCCACGCTGCTCGTCGCTGCCTCACCCTCTCTGCTTGACTGGGCAGCAGGGGGAGGGGAAGAGTGAGGAAGGGTCAGAGCAGTGGAGAGAGTATAGATTGTGATACATGATGAGACGGGGGATAGATGCAGTAGTGTAATGTCGAAAAAGAAGCGGCTTACAAACGATTATTATTATTATTGTTGTTATTTTATTTGTGGTGCTTCAATACAAGATTCTACTATCATAGCAAGGAAAGGGTATAGAGACCATCATTGAGCACACGCACGCATGTGCTACTTTGTTGGATTATCCGACATGGGATGTTCTTGCGACCATGTTGACTCGCACTCCGACTTGGGCTCGGAATCGAGCCCTTGTCCATTACTCGACTACGGTATTCGCAGCACGTTCATGAAGAGCCCAGCTTCCTTGCGTTATCTTGCTGCTATAGCCGTAAAGTGATAGTGCCTTTCCCCCCCCCCTGCTACTTCCTTCCACTTTGGGAGACTGTGTGTGTGCGCGCGCATGCGTTTGTGTGCGTGCGTGTGTGCATGCGTGCGTGTGTGCGTGCGTGTGTGCGTGCGTGTGTGCATGCGTGCGTATGTGTGTGCATGTGCGGAACCTCCTCCTGCGGTGCAACGAGAGTACCTGGGTCATGGGTCCGCCATGGATTCTGCCGCGCACCTTCGGGTCCAGATCCCGTGAAGGTTCCTTGTCAGCTGGCCTTATCAACTATAGATCTGGACTCCTCGTTACAAGGCGCATCGATCGATACTATTTTTGTGTCTACACGTCTGACATCATATCTTTCGTTAACCGAGATCCAGTTTCTTGTCAGGCATCTAACTTCAAGGCTCATTATACCTGGCCACTAACTTCAAGGTTTCTGGTCTTGTCTTTACATCTTCGGCTGTTTAACAATGACTACATTGCTCCTTTTAAGGTTTTTTCGAAGCATGATCCCGAGGCTTCAACCTCGGCGTTTCACCACCAGCAGCAAGAACAGTGGTCCAACACTTCAGCATTTTCCCTATTTAATTAGTCCGTGCTCAGAGCTGTTGGAAACAATAAGTCTTAGTGCGCTTCTGTCGTGTCAAAACCCAAGACACTAGCGAAGCAGCCCGAATCGAAGCATCGAGTCAAACCTCGGAGGTTAGGGTAACTGCCTGGAGGTTACGAGAAAGTCAAAGGTCAGCGACCTTTGACTCGACAATTACAGCGCGACAGTTAAGGACACACAACTGACTCGTTACAGAGCAGTTGCCCGAGTCGCACTGTATCGAATCGCAACAGCAATACAGTTATCTATCTATTCGTATTCCCTGTACCCTTATATAAAACCTTGTATTTGCTTGTTTAATTTAATCTACTTTGCTCTCACACACTAGTGCAAGGTCGGTTCACAAGTTTCATTAAAACGCTTCCGCTATTACAAGTTTCCTACCCAGAGTTATCCTCTGCAAAGATCCTTAAGGGCCTTCTCAGCCCAACATGGTATGAGAGCTGACAGGGGAAACTCTAAACTTTTTATATTACAAGACATGGCAACAAACAAGGAAAGGAGCTCCCCTAATGGCTCCTCGGGCACTACTCCTACTCCACCACCAGCCTCTGGCCTGCAGACAGAGGAAGGCACGGCAGCAAGACCAAGGGGAACGTCAACCGAGACTCCCACGAATCACCCTTCTGACTTCGACCAGAGCATGATGGAGAAATTCTTCTCCTTCATGTCCTTCTACGAGCAACACCAGCAGACGGGACCTGCACAGACACACAACAGCAACAACGGATCGACACCCATGAGCCTTGATGGGTCGTCATATGCGCGAGGGAATCAACAGCAGCAACCCACCTTCGCCCCATACGAGCGCGGGTCGATCAGCTTCCTGCCTCAACCTTCACCTACGCAAGACAAACCAATGGACGCGCTACAAGTTCAGTCGCAATTCGCGCATGTTTTGAAATTACAAACGTCAAGACCTTTCGACGGAAAGGACTTCTTCACCTGGTCCTTTGAATTCGAGCTGATGATGGAGGGCGCGCAGATACTCGGCTTCTTCGACGGATCCCTGCAGTATCCAGCAAACGGCACACAGTATGAGAAGCAGCAGTATACGTATCAATCGATGATGGCGTATACTATTCTACTGAGAAACATCACACCAACCCAGCAGCAGAACATTCGCTCTTACCGGAACTTCGGCAACTCGGCGGAACTTGCGTACGGCCATCTGAAGAACCTGTATCAGGCAACAGACAGTGTAAACCAGAGCAGGTTAATGGCGCAGTTGACAACAGTTGAAATGAAACCAGGAGAAAAGGGGTTGGCGTATATCAGCCGATGTCGCGAATTGCGCGACAAGCTTCTTCGATGCGGAGGATCAATCTCTGAAGACGCCTTCGTAACAGTCGTCATCGGTGGCCTCGGTCCTCAGTGGCGCGCCACCAAAGCAATTCTTCGAGCACACGGGAGGATCTCCGAAGCGGCACTCTGCGCCGAAATCCACGCCGAGCAGCAGGATATGGACCTGCAAGAAGAAAGGCACAAGAAAAGGGCATTAGCACCGGAGTTCGCTTTCCACACTCAGCGACGACACAACAACTACAACAACCGACAGCAGCAGCCGAAGTCAGTACCTCCGTTTTGTCACATCTGCAAAACATCAGGACACCCCCGCACGCATTGCCCGTCTCGTCAGACAACACCACATCGACAACTGCGGCCTTCAAGCTCACAAGTTGCTTCAACGCAAGCAAGTCCGACAACAACGATTCAAGCTTCAACGACTTCAACTGGACAACCTGCACAAGGAGCAAGAAACATAGTCAACTGCATGGTAAAGATAAACGACTCTTGCATAACAGAGTCACCACCCCATTACTCACCAGAAGAGGAGCTCGACAACAGGACGCCTCGCCGCGAATCACTTCACCCGAATCCGACTTACGCCGCCATCGCTCAAAGTGAACCGTCCGGCCAAGACACTTGGTTCTTGGATAGTTGCTGCGGGCAACACATGTGCTCGTCCGGGCGCTTCGTACAACGCGAACATCGACTCCAACGAGAAGTGATCATCACGGTCGCCAACAATCAAAACCTGCGCACACGACGACAAGGAGTGGTACAGCTTCAGTCAAGAGAAACAAATGTCATACTGCACATGTCTAAGGTACTCATTGCTGAAGGACTCGGTTACAACTTACTGAGTGTTAGCCAGCTGATGGCGAAGGGGATTCACCTGGAAGCCGACAGCACCACCCAGGAGTTCAAGCTATACCACGGGAGAGGCGGTCTCTACATCGGGAAGGAAGTGCTGAAGAACAACGTCTTCGTCCTCGACTTCGTTCCTGAACTGGGCACTGCAGACAGCGACGCCATTGTGAATTTTACTGATTGGACACACCCTCCTGATCTCGACCCCGACTTCAGCCCGGGAGGTTTCTGGTACTCCCACACTATCCCTGAAGCAGAACGAACAAGAGCGTTAGCGACGATTCAACAAACATCAGAAGCAGAGACAACATCGGCAGGAGCAACAACATCGGCAGGAGCAACAACATTGGCAGCAGCAACAACATCGGCAGCAGAGACAACATCAGCAGCAGCAGGAACAACGACACCGGTCACAGTCGACGAAGCACCACCAACACCCGCGCAACAGCTGAATTCGACTCAACGTGAAGTCCACCGAAGCGCCAACTTCGTCGCCAGTTTTTACTCCAACTCCGACGCATACCAACGTTCACCCGGACACCGCGCCTCTGAAGAGATCTGGCACGCACGCACAGGACATCCATGTCAGAACATATCTATAGCTTATACTGCTGTGTAGGCTGTAGTGGGGTATCCCATAGGGGGTACAACCCAGTTAGGGTTTCATATTTGTACTGCTTTCATTCATAGTTCATTCATTCCTGTTCATTCCTTTCACATGGTATAGAGCGGGTTCCCTGTGGGAACTTCGCCTAGGGCCCACCGAAGCGCGCCCCGAGGCGCGCGATCCTTTTTTTTAGCGACCCCCCCGAGTCGCCCTTCCCCTGCGGCCCCGCCGCCCTTCGTTCGCGGCCCCGCCGTCCAGTCGCGGCCCCGCCCTTACGTCGCGGCCCCGCCCTTACGTCGCGGCCCCGCCACTAAGTCGCGGCCCCGCCACTAAGACGCGGCCCCGCCACCCAGTCGCGGCCCCGCCGCCTACTCGGACGCGGCCCCGCCGCCTGCTAAGACGCGGCCCCGCCGCCTGCTAAGACGCGGCCCCGCCGCCTGCTAAGACGCGGCCCCGCCGCCTGCTCAGCCGCGGCCCCGCCGCCCTCTACGACGCGGCCTCCGCCGCCTGCAGACGCCGCGGCCTCCGCCGCCTGCTCAGCCGCGACCCCGCCGCCCGCTACGACGCGGCCTCCGCCGCCTGCTCAGCCGCGGCCCCGCCGCCCTCTACGACGCGGCCTCTGCCGCCTGCTCAGCCGCGGCCCTGCCGCCTCCTACGACGCGGCCCCGCAGCCTGCTCAGCCGCGGGTGCTTCCAGCGGCCCTCCGCTGCATCCTGACGGTCCGCCACTGCACCCTGACGGCCCCGCCGTCCCCTGTCTCGGCCCCACCGCTGCACCCTGACGGCCCCGCTGTCCCTTGTCCCGGCCCCGCCACTACACTGCAGCCGAGCCGCCCAGCAGCAGCCGAGCCGCCCAACAGCAGCCGAGCCGCCCAGCAGCAGCCGAGCCGCCCAGCAGCAGCCGAGCCGCCCAGCAGCAGCCGAGCCGCCCAGCAGCAGCCGAACCGCCCAGCAGCAGCCGAGCCGCCCAGCAGCAGCCGAGCCGCCCGGTACCTGAGCCGCCCGAGCCGCCCGAGCCGCCCGAGCCGCCCGAGTCGCCCGAGCCGCCCGAGCCGCCCGAGCCGCCCGAGCAGCCCGAGCCGCCTGCTGCTGACCTACCCGACTCTCCCATCCCGGTGAGACTTTCAGCTGCTGCCATGGCCACCCCCAATGTTCTCACTTTTGACGCTGAGGGGAGGGCCATTGACTTTGCCGTCTGGATCGAGGACCTGCAGCTGTACTTACTGTGTGATGCGGTAGATGAGGTCTCTCTCTTTGACTTTGT